GGACAGGCCGGGCGGGAGGGGGCTGCGCCTCGGCTGGGGGAAAGGGGCTCTGCTGCCGGGGGCAGCTACATGGGGGAGAAAAGGGGCAGCAGCCGCGGTGAGAGCAGGGGATTGATGTTTATGGGAGGCCGCTGCCAGGCCGCCGCCCTCCTCTTCCTCTTCCTCCCCCTGCCAGGCATCCACCCGCAGTCGGGAGGGTGGCAGCCCCCGGCTCCAGGAGGAAGAGGGTGGTAAAAGCCGTGCTTTGCTCTGGTTTTGTTCATGCCGCTTTCCTCTGGTTGAAATAAACTGCTTTTCTGCTTGTCCCCCTCCAGCTGTATCCCCCCCTCTCCCTGCAAAACCTCGGCTGTGAGGAGGTGAAGGCAGCCCAGGGCCTGGCGCGGCACAGTGGGAATGTCAGGGAAATGCTTAAACATTAACTCACCAGTTCTTAAAAATCGGTTTCCCGGGAAGAGTCTGTCATATGCGGAAGGGATTATCTTTCTTTTTATTTAGACCGATTTTAGAGTGGCACAGAAGTCTTTCTTTGTATGGGTATGTGTTAAGCCTGGCTTTATTATTATCTTATTAGCTAGACATGGAAATAAAATACAGTCTTTTCTAATGACCAACTAACTTTCAATGAAGTGTGCAGTGCCCCAGAACTTAGGCAGGAGAGCAGGGCTGTTGCCCCCTGGCACTGTGCGGGACGGGGTTAGGCAGCCTGGGGATGAAGCAACACCTGCAGACCAATTTTATCCTGTCTCCCACCACCGCCAAGTGTAAATGGTGCCAGTGATGACGCTTTCACGGTCTTCACCAGAATGGCACTGAGATCTGGGCCTAATGAGAAAACAGCGATTGTTTGTGCGAGGAAAAATTGCTGGAAGTATCGCTAATGAACTAGGCTCTGACTCCTGTTTGTTGAAGATAGAGGGGACACGACTGGACACAGAAGTGTCTATTTTCGGTACCGTTAATAACCAGCCATCCCCCCCATCTGTAGGCTTACCACTCAACTTTAATGGACTCCGACACCAAGCTAGTTGGGAACATGGCACTGTTACCCATCAGAAGCCAGTTCAAAGGCCCAGCACCTCGGGAAAGTAAGTTTATAATAATCTCTGAAAACCTGCTCATCATCATCTCATGGTTTGCTCCAAGCCAGCCCTAGCAAGAGTGACGAGAGGAGTCACAGGTTGGAAACGGAGTGCTTTGCAGTTTATAGAGGAGAAAAAAAAGTTTTCAGATGCCTAAGATGTGCAAATTATAGAAGACAATTATGCACAGATAAATATGCACCGTGCTCCAGCTAAATCAGTTGTTTTATTAATTAAAACCTACGGTTACTATTCTGGTGCTTCCTCCTGGGTCTCACTGTGCTCTTCAGTAGGTTTTGAGGAGGATGTGGTGATGTAAACCCTCTGCTGTCAGAGGAAGTGGAGCACTGCAGAGAACTTAGGCTTTGGGTCTGCAGCTGAAGACACTCGGCTGCTCTGAAGAACAAGGAGTAGGACAGCCAGCACCGCAGGGTAGGGGGCTTCAGAAACTCAGATGAAGTTCTGAGCATCCCAACTGAGTCCACAGGCAGCCTGGTACACGATCCCCTTCAGCAGGTGAAGTAGCACTTCCTTGGCATGTTATTCCCTGATAGTGTAGCAGTTCAGTTTGAGAAAAGAAATGTAAAGCAAATGTTTCTGGATTTAAGCAATCTTGGATGGTAGCAAAAGCAGGTGAAAGTCACGGGTATGCTTGTCACTATGTGTTTTGCTCACCTTCCCTTTTTCTGAAGAGGACAATGAAGTTTATCTGGTTGTGGTCATGGCCTTTCTCTAAAACCATTTTTGTGTCCTGAGAAGAGTTTTATGCTGTTAAATCTTGAGTAACTGTGAGTTACTCAACTGGTAGAAAAGAGGGTAACTGCTGAATTGCTGCCTTTTGTGAAGTGAGAAATCATGGGGGGAGGAGAACGGAGTTAAAGCCTCTGCTCCAAGTAGGAAGCTTAAATGTTACGGACTGAGATCAGCAGCATTTCACACAGCAACAACTGTTTTCTGTTGCATAGTGCTGTCTTCTGCTTTTTGTAAATACAAAGATTTTGCTTTTGCAATAATCCTTATTCATGTATTTCAGTGAGTAAAAGTTACAATGAAATGTAGTATAATGGGGCACTGCTTAACTCTGTATTTCTTTTTTGTTAGCTAAGGACACAGATA